TGTTGTCTTTTCATAATCATTTACCTCTATATATTATTTTTTGTCACTTATTATGCATTAAATATTTCTTTTGCACTTTTCAAAAACTTTGCTGCAAATTGCCTGTTAGCACCCGGATATTCTAACAACATGGACACAACATCAGTAAGAGTGACTAAATCTGTTGTTTGGTAAGAATGCCCGCCTCCATGACATCTAAAACTTCATCTACTAATATCAGCAATTATACCACAAGAAGGACATTTTAACCGAGCATGTGTTGACCATTGTATATTACCAGGATAGGTACAACTACAATTCGAATGCATCCATCTACTAACATACGTGTTTCCGCATCCCGTTGCCATGCAAGATATTTGCATATCTTCTCATTCCTCAGTCCATACAGGTAATACTATCAAATCGACCCTAAATCTAGCCTGCGGATCACGCATTTTTTCAACTAACTCAGGCGGTAATTTTACTTTACCATTTTCATCAGTAATCTCACTCAATTTAGGTAATTGAATCTCTTCACCAATATACTTAACTTCATAAGTTTTAGGTGCTTGGGGTATAAATTTATCGTTTGTCATTAGTTAATATCTCCTTTCAATTCATTAATATTTATTTCCTGTTGAGTATTCTTTCAACTCATTATTAAATTTTCTTTCATCATAAATTACCTCTATTATATTTTTACATTTTTTTATTTTTTTGGAATTAATTTTATTATCCAAAAAATTTAAAAGTAATTAACTTTATCTTTTGATATACCAGCTGATATATCACGTGATATACCAAGATTTTTTTATTTAGGTGTTGTTTTAAAAAAGTGTTAAGTTTATTGTGGGTTTGTATGTTTGGTTTTTTATTTATTTTGGTTAGTTCATTGCTGCTCTCTCTCTCTCTCTCTCTTGGCCAAATGTTCTTGCTGTCGGGCTTCTTTTTTGGCTTGATACCTTAATCATTTTTCTACTTCAAAGGGTTCCGTAGTATTAGAACGAGGCTCTTCACCATTTAAAACATGATAAAAGTTAGCAAATCTAATTCCACGCATATAGCTTTTAGCTATTCTTAACTGTTCTAAATCTTTTAAAAGTTGAACTTGGTCGATAGTTTCAATTTCACCACTTATTAACTTATTAGCTTCTTTGCGAAGTTTACCGGCTAATTCACTGATGATTTGGCTTTGTTTTAGTAAGGCTTTTAGGTTTTCGCGAACAGAATGGTCAGCGATTAGTTTTTTTAATTGTTCGGTAGTTAGTTGAGGGTTAGCATTCATTTAATTAGTTTTTTCTTTCAGCATAATAATCTAATGCTTTTTCTAAGACTTCTACATATCTTAATTTC